TTAGGATTTTGGTTTTGATGAAAATATTAGTTGTAGTAAAAAAAGGAATGAGATATGTTAGTAAAAAACTGGAAAATGAGTTAGTGAAATGTTAGTTAGAAAAGTTAGTTAGGGTTAGAAATAGAACCTTTTAGTTTTAAAACTGCTAGTAACTTGGATAGGTGGTAAAATTGTTAATACAAATTGATGGTATTAATTGTTAGGAGAATGCTTCTGTTAGTTCTGTTAGTAGTAAGGGAAAGGTGGTTTACTTAGTTTGGAATTGTGAAATGATTTGATGAATGGTGCATAGCAACTGGTTCTGTTTTCAGTTATGAGCTCTTTAATGGAAATGTTAGCTGTCAAAGATAGGGTGGGTGTTAGCTAAAAATCTATTAGAGGCTAAAATTCAAGACATTTAAGAGGTTAATTCAAAAATGATCAGGAGGTCCTAGAAATCGAAAATGAAAATCATGTTAGTGACAACTCACTGTTATCTACCGTACTTAATGTCAAATTTATTTAGCAAAAGAAGGATTGCAAAATGTTAGTAAAAGTATGAGTTAATGTTAGAATCAACCTTGTTAGTAGGTTGGTTGGAAGATCTGAAAATTAATTGGAGGTCTTGTTTGAATAGTCATGAACTATTAAATTCTAAAAGTGAGAAACTGTATTTAACTGAATTATGTGATCTGTTTCACAAATTTATGCAATGCTGACTGGATTTATGTTGGATTAATCTTATGTGCAGTTTTGGTTGAGTCTAAAACAGGGCAGCGGGGTAGTTTGAAGAATGTAGCAGATTAGTTCATTTGGGGCATGAATATCGATGAATACATGAAGATGAAGAACTTCGGCATAGCATGGTGGTGAATCACGTAATTCGAATGATAGTCAAGCACTTGGCATGGTGATTGGAAAATAGAATTTGTATTAAGAAAGATTGGAGATTGGGTTTAAGTTTTTTTTTTGATAATTTTTCATGTAATATTTTTTAGTGTAGTTTTCTATGGTTTTGTAATGGTGTTTTGAATTTAATTGTATAGAATTTGAAATTGAAATGACTTATGGTGAATTTGTAATGAATGAACTTGTTGGAATTTTTGTTGAATATGGAATGAAGAGGTTTTTAAATGGTGAATGGAACTTGAATATTATAGTGTGAACTATAAATGGCTTTGCGCTCGTAAATTCTCTTGAAACCAAAGTAATGCAGTACAATCTTGCATACAAATGTATCTTTGGGACCTCTTGAATCCAAATGCCATATTATCAAGGGTGCAAACTACATTCTCTTCATTTGATTTTGAGTTTCCCGAGAAAGAAGTGTATTTCTTTCTTTTTGAATTCGATATCCCAAGTCCTTCATTGAACTTGTATTTGTGAAATCCCAATGTCTCGCATTCTATCAATTTAGATGAACTCCCCTGCTTGAATATCTTCAAATGAACGAAGAAAATTCGAAGAAAATTGATTGTACTTCAAGTAAGCCAATCGACCAGATGAAAATCTTTGCATTATAAGGCATACAAACCCTAATTCGTGAAGAAGGTCCAACTGAATATTCTTCTCTAGAATAAAACTGTTTCCCATATACCTTGAGATTAAAGCAATGCTTTCCTTCTTTTTTTCCAAAGATATATCAATTGAAACCCTGTTTATTCATGGAAGATATCCCTTGATTATAGCCTTGCCTGATAATCACAACTTCACAGAGAAAACTCTCTTGAATGGTACATGATTTAGAGAAATAAACCCTAATCAAAGGATGACATTGAGCACAAGGAGATAATGAATGCCTTATTTAGTAGCCCTTAGATAACCTCGTAGAACAACTTGGAAATGAACATAGGAATACAGAAATAAACATGACCAAGATGGCCATGACTTAAAAAACCAAATGAACCTCGGTTGATGAAATGCTGACAAGCAAAAACTTGTGGAAAAAAAACTGACTCTTCTCTTGAATGCATCTGAATGAGTAATAACCCCCCTTAACTTGAAGCGAACGAAACCCTCAATAAGCACAGGTTGCAATCCTAATTCCACATTTCACTGCTTGAAGGATAATCAGAAGAATCAGGCTTTATTGGATACGAACACATTAACCGCTGCAAAACCCTAATATCGCACTGCCACTTAACTTTGAACCTCAAGCTCTTCTGAATGCAAATGTATGTTAATGACCTAATGGAATATATATAGATGAATGCAAGAGTCTAAGCCAGATAGAAGAAATTATGAGGGAAAATTTTGGGGTGCAACAGCTACCCCTATTTAATCGCCTTCAACCTGAAGGTGAGATTGGCGTTAGCCTTTCGAACTTTCATGGTGGAAGAAGATTAAATACTTAAAGAACCCGAAAATTTGCACTCCGAAGCCAGTCAGGAATACATTATATTTTTTTTTTGTATCTTCTATTTTTTCTTTTGCTTTTTTGGGTTAAAGGGGTTATCAAGGTTAAATGTATGTTTAACCAGAGTTTGACACACAGAAGAACAACTTGGTTATCAAGGGACATCTGTTCAGAGTTAGTAACAAACACCTGTAAGAAAGATATCAAAAGATATATGCCTGAAGTCAGTAGCAGACATACGAAAGAGGTATCAAAGATACATATCTGGGGTCGGTAGCGGATACGTACGAAACAGATATCAAAGATACATATCCGGGGTCGGTAGCGGATACGTACAAAACAGATATCAAAGATACATCCGGGGTCGGTAGAAGATACGTATGAAAGAGATATCAAAGATATCAAGAACACATGTCTGATGTTGGTAACAGACATATGAAACAGGTATCAAAAATACACATTTGGGGTTGGTATTGGATATGCACGAAAGAGAGAGACCGAAGAAAGCTCTTACAAAGATATCAAGAACACATGTCTGAGGTTAGTAGCAGAAATATGAAACTGTATCAAAAATACATATCTGGGGTCGGTATCGGTTACGCACGAAAGAGACAGACCGAAGAAAGCTCTTACAAAGATATCAAGAACACATGCCTGGGATTGGTAGCAGACATATGAAACAGGTATCAAAAATGCATATCCATGGTCGGTATCGGATACGCACGAAAGAGACAGACTGAAGAAAGCACTTACAAAGATATCAAGAACACATGTCTGGGATTGGTAGAAGACATATGAAATAGGTATCAAAAATACATATCCGTGGTTGGTATCAGATGCGTACAAAAGAGACAGACCGAAGAAAGCTCTTACAAAGATATCAAGAACACATGTCTGAGGTTGGTAGCAGACATATGAAATAGGTATCAAAAATACATATCCAGGGTCGGTATCAGATACGCACGAAAGACACAGACCGAAGAAAGCTCTTACAAAGATATCAAGAACACATGCCTGGGATTGGTAGCAGACATATGAAACAGGTATCAAAAATACATATCTGTGGTCGGTATCAGATAAGCATGAAAGAGACAGGCCGAAGAAAGCTCTTACAAAGATATCAAGAACACATGTCTGGGATTGGTAGCAGACATATGAAATAGGTATAAAAAATACATATCCATGTTCGGTATCAGATACGTACGAAAGAGACAGACCGAAGAAAGCTCTTACAAAGATATCAAGAACACATGCCTAGAATTGGTAGCAGACATATGAAATAGGTATCAAAAATACATATTTGTGGTCGGTATCAGATACGCACGAAAGAGACAGGCTGAAGAAAGCTCTTACAAAGATATTAAGAACACAAGTCTGGGATTGGTAGGAGACATATGAAACAGGTATCAAAAATACATATCTGTGGTCGGTATCGAATACGTACGAAAGAGATAGACCGAAGAAAGCTCTTATAAAGATATCAAGAACACACGTCTGAGGTTGGTAGCAGACATATGAAACAGGTATCAAAAATACATATCCGTGGTCGTTATCGGATACGCAGGAAAGAGACAGACCGAAGAAAGCTCTTACTAAGATACCAAGAACACATGTCTGAGGTTGGTAGTAGACATATGAAACAGTTATCAAAAATACATATCCGTGGTCAGTATCAGATACGCACGAAAGAGACAGACCGAAGAAAGCTCTTACAAAGATACCAAGAACACATGTCTGAGGTTGGTAGCAGACATATGAAACAGGTATCAAAAATACATATCTGTGGTCGGTATCGGATATGCACGAAAGAGACAGACCGAAGAAAGCTCTTACAAAGATATCAAGAACACATATCTGAGCTTGGTAGCAGACATATGAAACTGGTATCAAAAATACATATCAGTGGTCGGTATCAGATACGCACGAAAGAGACAGACCGAAGAAAGTTCTTACAAAGATATCAAGAACACATGTCTGAGGTTAGAAGCAGACATATGAAACAGGTATCAAAAATACATATCCGGAGTCAGTAGCGGATACATAATAAGGAAAGAGGCTGGAAGAAAGGACTCTAACCAAGGATATCAGGAATATACGTCGGGAGGAAAGGGCGTATAACCAAGGATATCGAGAAAAAAATGTCCGGAGGAAAGGACATATATAACCAAAGCCTCACAAGGGTAAGAGAGAAACACGACTCACTAAGACAATGGGAAATACCAAAGACTCGACTGGTGTGGGTCTAACACTAGTGCAGACATGACTTTTTACATCGGGTGAAACTGACTTTTTACATCGATTCTAGGTCCGATGTAAAGTCAGGCGATATAGTAAATCAGGTACTTTTTACATCGGTTCTGGGTCCGATGTAAAAAGTCTCTTTTTTACATCGGTTATAATATAAGAATGATGTAAGAAACAATTATGACAATATTTTAAAAAAATTGATCCATTTTTTTACATCGGTTGGAAGTAATAACTGATGTAAAAAGTCCCTTTTTTACATCAGTTATAATATAAGAATGATGTAAGAAACAGTTATAACATTATTTTAAAAAAATTGATCCAATTTTTTACATCGGTTGGAAGTAATAACCGATGTAAAAAGTCTCTAGTGACGCAATATTTTACCTCGGTTAGAAGTAATAACCGATGTAAAAAGTCCCTAGTGACGCAACTTTGTACATCGGTTGGGAGTAATAACCGATGTAAAAAGTCCCTTATCAAAACCATTGCCATCTTCATCTTCATCATCAGTTTGAAAGCCATCCATATCATCATCATATTCAGCTTCTTCCTCCTTTGCAGCTTCTGCATAGTGAGTTCAACAGACCGAAAACTAAGTACTCATCAACAAAAACAAATCTACTTTTCATAACTATTGTAACATCTCAAAGTTACATAAACAAGACAAATACCTGCAACTTGATCCTTGTAAGCAATTAGAAGATCAAGTGTGGCCCGAAATACTCGACCCAAAGCCTCCCCAGGCAATTGACCAGCCAGAAGTGCCACCAATGAAATTAAACCAAGGCAGCACACTTTCTTCTCATGTTCCCTGCATAAAGATAGTGATAGTTTACCACCGTAAGGCCTTTAAATTTCACACACAATAACTTAAATAGTTTTGACTTATGGAAGCAGTATGCAAATACCAAGAGATACAGGAGCGATGAAAGGGTAAAAAAGAGCATACCTTTTGAAATTAGCGCGCAAACCACTCTTTTTGACTTGTCCCAACAAATGAAACCAAAGATGGAAGAATTCAGAGGCGACACCCAACTTTTGCAATATGTTGAGAGTCAGTGCTGAATTGTAGTAAAGAGCATCTGCAATATGAAAAAATAGCTACTCTTAGAAAAAGTTAAGTTGTGATGTCACTTTCTTGTGACTAATATCTTTGAGAACCTTGGAAAACTAACAACCTCGAATTTACATAGTTTACATAGACACTATAGAAGCCAAGGAAGTGCAATCCATATGAAGCTATAATGGACAACATTAGGTGTTTCGTGTTTATATCAGAACCACAACAATAAAAGCAGGACACAATAATTTTCCTTGAACAGTGAAAATGAGCAGAAACATCCAAGTATTTATCATGCCTAAACATCACAATCAGGAAGCAACAAAAGCAATTTTCCGATAATTGCATTCATGTAATTATTGATTATAGAGCCCCTTACCAGTTGCATGAAAAGACATTTCAAAAATGACTTTTTAGTCCGGTTCAAGCATTCAATTGTGATTCTGAGATATGGCTCCACCCAGTGATCCACCCGTCCTCTACAATTCTGGAAGACAACTTCAATAAGCTTTGGAGCTGGCACAATATCGTTATCCTCCATATTTTTATCCGCCATAATCTGCAACATGATATATAAGTAAATATCAGTAACTGGAAAAAAAACTTATTATCGTTACTATTATTGATATAAACTCCATGTCCAACCAAACAGGTGGTGACAAGTAACAGTGTAAATCTAACTCCCATATGAAACCATGTTCCATAGACTTTGTTGATAATAAGGATCTTTGCAAGTAAGGAAATGAGCAGTTCCTCTTGAAATATAGTTGTCCAACGGAACTAAAATATCTGCAGAAGTTTAAAACTTAACAAATAAATATATACCAAAGTGAAATTGTATAGGATGGAAACTCTAAGTTAACATAAATATAAATTAAAATGTTGAGATTCTATGTATGGACTCTTTATATTTGTGATGCACTTCTTTTACAAGTCTTTCTCCATATATGCCCAAGCCATCAAATAACCCCTAAGTGTCTCCTCCATTCAGTGAAAACAGACAGAAATTAATCGATTAACTATTTATTTTTCTCACTTCTCTGTCCCATACTGTAGAGAAGTGACACTTTAGTTTATTTTTCATTAGAGAAGTGACAAAATTGTAGAAGTAACCAGGCTAGGCATACTTCAGTTAATTGATTAGAAGCCATGGAACAGAAAATATACCATATACCATTCCATGTTACGTTTTAGCTTGTAACTTTTTTTAATGATGTTTTGAAGATGTTTAAAGTTGTGATTGTCTTCAGGATAAATCTGAGACACCAACTCTTCTCTACTTCAATTCAATATTAATAAATCAATAGGACACCAATAAATCATCTAAACTAGGCACTTCACTATGAACAGAGCAACAAAATTATAATATGCAGCTTAGCAACATACTTGGAAAGAAATCAATTTCCCAATCTGCCAGCACTTCCATCATCACTGGCCAAAGAGTCCACATCTCCAGAGATATTGATGGAGATAAAAATGTCATATATGGTACAATCTCCAAAACTTCTTCGAAAACCTCTGTAAGCATGCACAAAAATAATACAAATTAGCCAGATAATCCAAGTGAACAAAATTTAAAAATCATAACGATACAAGAATCATAGTAACACATGAATCCAACTTCAAATTTGTGAGTTGACAATTTAGTCCCAATATAGTTCCTTCACAAAATTTAGCTCAAAAATTTAAAATGTTCAAATTTTGTCTCGGTGCAACAAAAAAAGTCAAATAATGTACCACAAAGTACAAAACGTTTTATGGGTTAAGGAGGATTCCTGCTCATGTTCTTTTTCAATTGTTATCTTTGTTAAATAAAAATTCTTTAGACGGAGAAAAAACCATACAAGGAAAATGGGGGATATGAATCCTGCATACCAAATAGCAAGGGGAGTACCTTGACCATCTGTTGTTAACATTTTTTGCATTATAGGAAGCAAAGTTGGCTCAACTTGCACAAAAAGGTGAGGAAGCCTGCTAAATGATTCAAGGATTGTTCTAATAGCACGTAAACAACCAACTACGGCCAGAGCTCCTGGATCATCAGTTTCATCATCAGCTTCTGCAGAGTTCATACACCTCCAAAATGCAGCAGCCTGTAGTTAGAAAATGGAGAACAGAAAGTTATTCTACAGAACAGTACTTAATATCAAGTACACCTTTCTTGATAATTAGAAAGGAACAAAAATACTACCAAATTTTGACATAGTCCTAGTGCATAAGGCGCCATCTCTTCTCCAAACTTGTCCACAATAGTCTCCAAAGTAAATACCAGGTCTTCATTCTCAACCTCATTCATAAGTTTGAAAAACTGTAGATAAAATCGAATTAGATTAAATTTAGTTAGCAAGTCCAAAATAATAATACTGAGGCAAAGACGAAACTTTCATGCCCACGTACCATCAAGAAGCTGAGGAAGAATAGGACGAATTCATTCAGATCTGCATCATTTGAGGAATACAAAATTAAGTATAAATATTAACTGCATAGAAAAAAGGTACTTGATATAATAACAAATCAAAACGAGTAAAAATTACCTTTGCATGCTTCGATGAAAGAGCACAAGGCAAAAACAGAATCAACGCGCACAGGAAGTTCAGAATCTTGCATTCTGGATACAACACATTGCAATGCCTTCCAGAACGGCCGTCGAGGAGTCGTGAAGGGCGTGAATCGGTGGCAGGAGTCGTGAAGGGCGTGAATCGGCGGAGAGGAGTCGTGAAGAGCGTGAATCGGCGGCGAGGAGACGTGAAGGGAGTGAATCGGAAGCAAGGAGACGTGAAACAGCGACAAGGAGACGTGAAACAGCGGCGAGGAGGAAGTTGTACAGTGAGGCGTATGCGTGAACAGGGGCGGCGTATGCGTGAGAGGAAGTTGTACAGTGGAAATAATGTGCATTTACGAAATAAACCGAATAATATATATAACCTTTTACATCGGTGGAAACAACGGACCGATGTAAGGGTTTGGGCCTTTGCAGTTTTTACATCGATGGAAACAAGGCCCGATGCAAGCGTGTTATACCTTTTTACATCGGTGGAAACAAAGGACCGATGTAAGGGTTTGGGCCGTTGCAGTTTTTACATCGGTGGAAACACAGGCCCGATGCAAGCGTGTTTTTCTAATGTTTTTTACATCGGTAGGTAGGTGGCCCGATGTAAGGGGTTTTTTACATCGGTTGAAAATATGCCCCGATGTAAGTTTTTTAATATATTTTATATATTACCAATCTGCCTGTGAACCTTTTACATCGGTTTTTAGTTACCCCGATGTAATATCTTGCTTGTTTTTTATTTACAATTCTGCCACCTTGTTTCTTATTTACAAAAATGCCACCGTATTTTTTTCTAAAAACCTTTTACATCGGTGGATGACATTGCCCGATGTAATAGATAGCAAAAAATATTTTTTTTCTTATTATTTATATCATTTCAAATAAATACCTGATGTAAAATGTTTTTAATGGTATTTTTTACATCATATATTTTGATACCTGATGTAAAAACCTTTTCTCAAATGTCTTTTTTTTAGTAGTGTAACAGCCTTCGTTGGGGAAACAAAATAGGATCACCCTAGGCTTTTTGTGAAGATAGTTGAAATCTGAATGTAAAACAATCTGGTTACTGCAAGTAAACATAATTGGCTTATACTCATGAATTTTTTTTTTACGTAATGCTCCATACAATGGAAATGCTACGCGTTTTATTAGATGCAATGTAATAATGCATGTTTAGTAATGCATTAGGAAAACATATCAATAATCGGCTGCTGAGAAGGCAATGAACTTCTGAATGATTATTCTTGCACATCTGATCTTCTGTAGAGAGAAGTCAATTTGTACTTCGGTGGGGAACCGGGATTTGGAACCACCAACCTCTAAAGATCGATATTACTGAGGAAGTAACTTCCTGGGAAGAATACTGCAAACATAAATTATTGTTCAGGGAAAATCTTGAATTCTGATCAAACTTTGCACTTCACGAGGAACAAATTCTTTATCCTCTGTTGGAAAGAGGAAAGCTTTGCTGGGAATGGAAACTTCTGGCACAGACATTCTTTGACGAAGATAACTTCTGTTGGGGAGTATAAAAATTCTTAAATAAAAAGAATTCTACTCTGACCATACTGAGGATAACATCACTGGGAGGTAAAAGATCCTCACTTGGGGAAGAAACGAACATCCCGGGATAGAAACTCCACTAGGGATATCTCAACAAAATCTTCTATCACTGGTAATGAAAGAGTTATGACCGGAATTCTTATGTACACTTCACCTGAGAGATATGAAACTTGCTCCATTAGGGAAAGAAGAATAGTTCCACTGGGGAAATTGGATCTCATTATACAAAAATCCACATGTTAGTCATATACAGACCCTTCTTGATTCCTTTGTTGGTATGCATCTTGTCATACAAGACCAACAGTACTTGCAAAATAGAAGTTGGGGCGACATGCCCTTGCTTGGAATGGAAAACTTTACTGAAGAATAGAAAACTCGAACTATCAATCACCGGGTAAAAACCGCGATGCAAGATTGCAACTTCAACATCGACTCCGAGGAGACATGCCACTAAAAAGTCAACTTTAGAGAAGATGCTACAAAAATAAATTTCAGTCCAATGAAAATGGATCATCTAGACTTTAAACAACTTCTACATTTCCAGGGAGAAAGAACATTCTCCTCCTACAGAGAAATGAGGATGCTTCACTTGGGAGGAAATATCTTAAAAGAGAAGCCCTTTAGAAACAACATTTTTGTCAAGTAGCAATAGATCTTTTACTGGAAGGAGGCATCCCCTTGGGAAGCAATATTTCCACCGCGTCTTGTACGAGTAAACAACCCCAAATGATCTTTGTGCTAATGCTTATATCCTATTGAGGACAACAATCCAAAATTCAACTGGGGATAATAACCTTGACTTAGGACAAAGGATATCAGTAAATGGACTTGAGTCTCTGAGAAATCGAAGATAACAATCCCGTCTTCCCGACATGATTTTCAAACTCACGAGTCATTTATCCTGCGTATGGACTTGATCTGATCAACCCTTGAAGAGGAGAAAATGCCCTTGCATAATTTCTTACCCCAGTCTGTAAGGATTTTGAAGAAAATTGCCTCGAGAGGACTTTTGAGATTTATACTATTGAAGACAATCTGCCCCAGTGTTAGGAACTTTGGAACATGATGTTTAGGTAACCAAATTTGGAGATGATTCCAACTATGCTTGAGTGAATACATCTTCAAATTCTAGGAAGATTCTCCTCTGATCAACGCATTCTCAGAGAGATTTGTCAAATATTAGTATAACTGCCCCAGTTTGACTGCACTTTGAGGGATGAAATCTCGACTTGAATGCCTCAGATTGGCTGAATACCTACTCGACGGAGTATTCGACACGATTGCCCTTGCTCAATAGAATCTTGACAAATCTTTTCTTTGTCTCATGCTCACGGAAGGATGAGAAACTTGAGGATTTCCGAAGGCAATATAACCTTGGAGTGGTTGGCTTATGTCTTGAAAGTAGGTTACTTCACAACCATACTTCTCGACTTGAATTGATTCGTTCTCGAGCAAATACTTGAAGCAATATGTCCCTTGGAACCAAATGAAAGTAATGCACCATTGCTCGACAGAGGCTCCGGGCAATCAACTTTTGCAATCTTTCAAACCATTTCTCAAACTGGTATTCTTTCATTCAACGGAACCCATAGAAGTTTGCCCTAGATTAAGATCATTTCCAAAAATGATTCACCTTTAAACGGTATCTTGAAGTAACTTGTCCCTTGAGATGATCAAATTTTCATCTGATACTCATTATGCAAGCTTACTTTATGTTTAAGCACTTGCTCATATGCAAAGAATGTTTATTCTAAGAATGATAATTGTAATGCAAAGCTCACGTGTGTCTTGAAGTTTTAAAAACCTTTATTGAAAATATTAAACAAACAAAATTTTTTGTATAGATGAAATTAAAAAGATAGTGTGATACCAACTCAAAAGTTTTTGCAAGCTTTATAGGAGTCAGATTACCGTATTCTTGTTACAGTGTGCTTTCAAATTAACCCATGCTTCAGTTAGGACTTTTAAGGGTTGTAACGTGGCCTGGTTCACGGTTTTAGAAAAACAGATTTGAGGCTCAAAATATTTGGTACCCACCCATTCTCCGTGATGTTCTTCAGTCCTAAATTCAGTTAAACCAATACGAGCACCCATCCCTCAAAAGGAGTTTACCATGGTTGAGGAGGATATGACAGTCACTCACCTCTTTCATTCTTGGTATTTTATCACACAACTTTATTCTTTGTGGAGGATCTTTATTTGGTAATCCCCTTTTTCTCTTTTTGCACTTTTTGCTTTCTTTTTGTATTCCCTAACTTTTTCCTGGACAAATTCCTTTTGAATTTGACTTTGAAGTCCAGCGGGATGCCCTGTATTTTGCCTAAGCGACTTGTTTTCCAAGTTTTTACTTAGAAAGGCTTTTTGTCTCTTTCTTTCATCATTTCTTTTAGTTTGAACTAGTCGTGTGATTTCGAGTTGTTTTTTGACTTCCTGAGAAAGTGTGACTACCTTACTGCTTGGCTGACGAGGAATAACCATTATGGTATCGTCATCTTTTGACCTCTTGATGTGCAAGAGATATCTATTGGGATATCATCCTCATTGATTCACACTCCTCATAGATGAGAGTTAGCCATTATGGTTTTGTTCTTTCTCAACCTTCTGAAGGATAACCATTGTTGTATCCTTTGATGCGTACTACTAATGAGTTTTGAACGCTCAATTAGATTAATTGGAATCTACCCTACCCCGGGTTAAATGTGAGGGTTTTTCTTGAACAAAAAATAAACTCCTACTTCAAAGCTCAAATAGGTTGACGAGGGTCTATCTCCCTTATATCTCCGGTGTTTTGGAATTGAAACAAGGCATGTACATCGTCAGCAGGGTCCTATTCAAATTAGGATTGAAACCCATAGGATAAGTAGGAATGACAGGCTTCAGTGGCTTGAGTTCCACCAAGGAAAGCTTGAGCAACTGAGAGAACAACGGGCATAAGTCATGGGAACAATGTCGAACACCCTCTTTGGCTTCTTATCCCTTTATTTATCTTGTTGCATACGTCTTTGTTGATAGGTTTGCTGCTGAGTAGTACACCGAGCTGGATGAACATAAGGAACATTCTGATTTTGATTAACCAACTGATTTTCACAACTTGTAAACAGCTGTCAGTGAGAACATTCTGAGAGTATAGGTTATGGATGATGTGACTCAAGTCGTGAGATTGAACTTTGAAGAAGAGAAGGTGTGGCCCTAATATTTGTAGCAGTTGGCATAAGATTGATTTGCATGCTCAGACCCTCAGGAGTGAAGAGAATTATCCCTATATCAAGTAGATCATGGACTTGGTGCTTAAAAGCTATGCAATCTTCAATATCATGGTCGGGTGCCCCAAAGTGGAATTCACACCTAGCATTATCGTTAAAGCCACGAGGTAGCCTTTCATGTGTAGTGAAGCTCTGAAGTTTGACCAAATGAAATCCTAGCGGGGGAGGAAGCAATTGTGCATATAATATTGGAATAAGATCAAATTGTCATTCAGACTGTTTTGGCCTCTGCTGACAGACTTTGCCTTTTTGGGTCCTCTTGGGAAATGACAACTAGTTGTGGATGGGAATATCCTGGAACACAAGGCGGTGGAGGAGATACTCCCTGACCTAAAAGAGTCCCCAGATTATAGGGAGGAATGGTAGCTCCTATTGTAGCAGGCATGGAAACATCTTCTTTATTCAACATCGTCCCCAAAATTCCCATAACCAAATTCAATTGAGTCTTCAACTGACTATTTTCTTCTTTCAAGAGTTCTTGTCCACAGATCAAATCCTGTATGTCTAGAAGTGAA